TTAAAAATGCTACCCATGGGCACCTGCATGGCTCAGTTGGTTGGGCGACTGCCTTCGGCTCAGGTCATGATCCCGGAGTGCCAGGATCGAGTGCCACATCGGGGTCCCAGCTCCATGGGGAATCTGCTTCTCCCTCTGACCTTCTCCCCTCTCATGTTCTCTCTCTCATGTACACTCTCTCTCTCTTAAATAAATAAATAAAATCTTTTTAAAAATGCTACTCATGGATTCTTTTTTTTTTTTTAAGATTTCATTTATTTATTTGACAGAGAGACACAGTGAGAGAGGGAACACACCCAGGGGGAGTGGAAGAGAGAGAAGCAGGCTTCCTGCAGAGCAGGGAGCCTGATGTGGGGCTCAATCCCAGGACCCCGGGATTATGACCTGAGCTGAAGGCATGTGCTTAACAATTGACTCACCCACGCACCCCTTGTGTGTTCTTCCTAATTTCAGTTTTTAAGGCTGTGTAACCGCCTTACAATGAAGTTCTTTTTATACTTGAGGAGTCAAGTCACTCTGGATGGAATCCAAGACTTTAAGTGAATTCTACTTTATAACACATTGTGTTTTATCAGTGACACAGTATAAATTCATATCTCTCTTCCAAAAGATTTTCAGAACTCTCATGAGTGAAACACTTCCAAAATTAATAACAACTTACTACAATAGGTTAACTAAGTAAGTGAAGTTGTAGCATCTTTTTCTGGAAGACTTAAAGAACTTGGAAAATTCCCATTGTAAAATTTTAATATGATGTTAATGACCAAATAAAATTCTTTTCTGAAGGACAGCACGGAGAAAAGACAGATGGGAGGAACTCTTAATGTATGAGGGTAGGATGAAATGGAGCTATCTTGGTCCAATGATTATCTGGGAAATATACTGAAGACTGAGTCATTGAGACATGTTTCATCATACCACTCCAAATAAACACAATGGCTATTTAAGGAGTTCAAGTTTGTGCTCAGCAATGAGAAAGAAAGAAAAAGATAAGAGGAAAATGTTATAGTTGGCTATTGGCATATGGCTAATGTGTGGGGAAATGCAAAAAGTTCTGTTAAGCAAGTCCCTAATCTGAGCCCATGCATGGTGCTAAAATATGAATGGGAAGAGAAAAAAAAAATACATTGATGGGAGCTTCTAGGACCATCTTGATTTCAGCCTTCTTGCTGGATCCTAAGTCCTCATCTCTGGCTTTTAAAACGTGGACACTAAGTGTAATTCATATCTATTGTATTATAGAGCTATTCATCTTTGCCTCTGCAAGTCTTTCTCTAGCTTCCCTTTCATGTATTAATATCAGATCAATGTAATACTGAATTGTAGGAAACATAAAATAAAAAATTTATTTTTTAGTCTCAGCTCAGTTTGTTTGAAAGTCAGTCCCCCCTTCCACCATTTCTTGCTCTAACCCACCATTTCCCTGCGGGCACATCTGTCATATTTTCTAGCCTCTCCCTTACTTGTGGGAATGTACATTGGAATTAAGTATGTTTAGCTACGTGAACCCACATATTCAAACAATGTTAATAATTCCTCACTCCCTTCCCCTAAACAGTGGAGAGTACTTATATAAACTGTATATAAGGAAACCCTTCCAGTTGGCAATGCACAATTTTATAGTGGTCTCTGCCATAGCCTAGTAATTCAGTGAGTATGTCTTATGAGTTTGGTTATTACTCATTCAACCAGTTGTAAGCAACATAAACTGAACCTAGAAAACTTAAGAAAAAGGGCATTTACTGGAAGATGTTTGGAGCTTGGAAAGTCAATAGGAAGGCTAGAGAACAAAGTAGGAATTAAGATACAAGAAATAAAGGGAGAGTGTCAGAAGGATCTTCTCAGAGAAGCACCATTAGACTAAAGAGCTGCCCAAAGAGCCCAGCCTCTGTCCCTCAGCTAAAAATTAAAATTCCAGGGGCCCCTGGGTGGCTCAGTTGGTGAAGCATCTGACTGGATTTTGGCTCAGGTCATGATCTCAGGGTCATGAGATCAAGCCCCATGTCAGGCTCCACACTGGGCAAGGAGCCTGCTTGGGATTCTCTCTCTCTCTCTCTCTCTCTCTCTCTCTGTCCCTGTCCTCACTCTCTCTCTCACTCAAAAAAAAAGCGCCAAATTCTAAGAAGGTCATTTGTTCAGCACTTGTGGAGAGAGCCCCTGATTAACAAGCCCACAAAATGCAATAAGGAAAAGGAAATATTAAAAGTTGAGGAAAAGGGGTGCCTGGGTGGCTCAGTGGGTTAAAGCCTCTGCCTTCGGCTCAGGTCATGATCCCAGGGTCCTGGGATCAAGCCCCGCATCGGGCTCTCTGTTCAGTGGGGAGCCTGCTTCCTCCTCTCTCTGTGCCTGCCTCTCTGCCTACTTGTGATCTCTGTCTGTCAAATAAATAAATAAAATCTTTAAAAAATAAATAAGTAAATAAAAGTTGAGGAAAATTCACTCTTCTGACTTAAGTTCTTAGCACTCAAGCTGAAATACCAGCAGTTAGTTCATAAACTGTAACAGTAGAATATTGGTCATGTTTCAAAAGGTCTGTCTTAGCATGACATGTACAGCATTTTCTCAGCCCCATCTAGCAATCCTTCTCTGTTGCTAAACCAAACCAACACAGAAACCAACCTCAGAAAAGAGTGAATGACCTTAAGTCATAGGTTAATAAAGAAACAAGAAATTATATCTCAATTTAAAAATTAGTTGACTTAAAAATTTATTAAAGAAGATAAGAAAAACAACAAACTTGTTCCTCCAAAGGTCATCGTCACCTGCCAAAAGTAATAGCGTATGTGGGTGTGTAAAGAGAGTGCCTAGTTTTAAGCACAGTGACTCAGATTTGTATGTACTACCTCATTTAACTGTCACCAAACCCTGAGTGTTAATATTATTGTCACCCTAATATTATCGCCAACCGTCAGAGGGATCCCATAACTTGGCTAAATCTTCACAGCTGTAAGGCAATCTGAACGTGGAGTCGGCCTCACCCCCAGACTAGGCTGACTAGACTCAATCACATGGGCTGAGTTTTATAGGAGGCAGGAGGATAGTGTAGTGTAGAACCATGGGCACGAGTTGAAATCTCAGCTTTGCCACTTACTGGCTGAAGGCAAGAAATTTAAACCTCACTTAGCCTCAGTTTCCTCATCTGTGAGATGGGGAGAGTCACACCAGGGTCAGAGTGAGTCGCTGCAAGGTCAGCCTATCCTTGCAAAGAGAAAAGAGGAAATGTATATAACTGCTTAGCCATGAGTGCTTGTCACATATTACTTACTGAGTAACTGAAGGCTATTTTTAGTTATACATCTGTGTCCCTTGGTAGACTAGTCCTCGAGGTTCCAGTGTTACTCTGGATATTTCTATCCATAGCACCTCTCTCGGTGATCGGCCCGTTAACAAGCCCACATAAGTATTTGCCGACCAGAAAGTGTTTGTATCAGCATGCACGCTGTCAAGTCGTACTCTAATATTAGAAAATAAGCTCTTCCTTATATTAACGCTCCTCTCTACTCATTAAAAGAGATGATGCCGGGGCGCCTGGGTGGCTCAGTGGGTTAAAGCCTCTGCCTTCGGCTCAGGTCATGATCCCAGCGTGCTGGGATCGAGCCCCGCATCGGGCTCTCTGCTCAGCAGGGAGCCTGCTTCCTCCTCTCTCTCTCTCTCTCTCTACCTACTTGTGATCTCTGTCTGTCAAATAAATAAATAAAATCTTTAAAAAAAAAAAAAAAAAAGAGATGATGCCTATTTTCCACCACCCAACTCCCTGGCCTCAGACTTCAACTCATGAGGTCAGGGATGGTACCTCTTCTGTTCTCTGTGGATCCTCAATGCTTAGCACAGAGCCCAGTACATAGTGGGAGGTTAACAAATACTTGTGAACTGAATTTTTAATAAACATTTGTGATATATCTTTCAGTTTATCTAGCACTTTCATTTAAACATATTTCTCAGCAGAGCAAGTTCAGCATATCTCTTTGGCACCAGACTGCCTGGCTTCTAACTCCACCACCATCATTCACTAGCACCATGGTCTTGGGTAATATACCTAAGTTTTTAATGCCTCCATTTTCTCACCTGTAAAATGAGACTAATAATAGTATTGGGGGCGCCTGGGTGGCTCAGTTGTTTAAGCACCTGCCTTCCGCTCAGGTGATAATCCCAGGATCCTGGGATTGAGCTGGCATTGGCAGGGGCAGGGGATCTCTAAGAGGGAGTCTGCTTCTCCCTCTCCCTTTGCCCCTCCCTCCCAACTCATGTGTGTATGCTCTCTCTCTCCCTCTCAAACAAATAAAATCTTTAAAAAATAATAATAATAGTATTGGGTTGTGTGTATTAAAATGTTAATTTATATAAAGCCTGTAAAACAGTATGTGGGACATAGTAGGTCTTTAAACTTCAGCAATGAGTAATTTTGTTCGTGGCTGTTTTCTTCCCATCACGCTGTCAAGAATAAATTATTCCAACTGCCTAAATCATCTCTCTTTTCACATAATATGAAAAGTGGCATCTTTATTTCAAAATCCTAAAATCAATTTTCAGAAGAGCAAATCATAATCTCCAGAAACTGACTTCCAAAGCTATTTGTAAAAATAAATGTATTTATAGAGACTCTTCTTAAAATAAAATAATCCTAAATGGCTCCAGATATTCTGTAGTTTAAAGCTCTTCCAAATCACTCGTGCTGGATCCTTGTCCCACAACATTTGGCGTTATTCTTTCCACAAACAAGAACAGCTATATTGACTTGAGGAGAAGCGTTCATTTGAGTAAAAACACGGGCTGGTGGAATTAGGTCGTGTTGTCCTCTGTTTCCACTACAACCCTCATTTGCTCTATTACGGCAAAGAGTATGTCAATCTCCCCATCCCTTAGAGCATGAACCTGGTGATTAGGCCACACATTACTTGAAAATTCCAATCACTGTATTTAACCACTGATGCTTTTCTACACATTCAAGAGATGAGCAGGAAAAAAATAAAGGCAAAGAGGCACCTGAGAATTTCATTTACCTTCAATACTGTAATGTTCCAAGCAAAGCTCTCAGTTGCCTTGTTGAGTTTTCTTCCTTTCAAGCCTTCTTTTGCCCCTAGATTATGAAGTTCCTCATGGAATTCCATCCCTTTGAAAAAAAGAACATATAAGAATTCTTACTATAAATTTCAGAAAAATGGGCATCTTATAATGAAAAATTTCCCATTCCTTTCCTCTCATAGTTTTGAAAACCCTGAATTAAATGTTCATTCCCATTCTGTTCGTCCCCACCAGTGGCTATCCTTAGGGGCAAACTAACAATAACCAATACATTAGACCAAATTACATTTTGAACAGCCAGGAACCACCAGATAAAGACATAAGAAGGAGGTTAAGAAGCAAATTCTTCTAGTAGATTACATGTGTCTTGTTTGTCTTCTACCTGGTTTTTATGTGAAATGGTATAATGTATGACAATGTGTGATGGCTAACCATATGTGACAGATGCACTTATTTTACTTTTCCTTATAAGCCACCCATATGGTTTGACAGTAGACCCTGGAGTCCATATGGATAATGATGTTAATAAATAAATGTTGAGTAAAAATAAAAAGATGTTTTATAAATAGCATTTCTGGAAACAACTAAATACTGCAGATTTGGGAATGGCCTTAAAGTTATTTTTAGCTCAACCATTTCTCAAGCTTGACTACTATAAAAAATATCACCATCCTCAGAGTTGAGAATCACACTTTCTTCCGGACAGCTTACGCCATCTTTGGAAAGCTATGACTGATTGCAAGCCAAAGTCTGTCTCCCTGAAATCTTTACTCCTTGGTGCTAGCTAGACCCAGACCAGCTAAGTCTAATCTCTTTTCCACTGTGCAACCCTTTAAATCTTTGAAGAAAGATACTCGATAAAATCCACTAGAGTCTTTTCTCCTCCAGATTAAACATTTTAGCCTGTTTCAGCTTTACTAACAATGTCTCTTCTTTAAAGATGACATCCGGGCAGAGCCTCCACATTGCGCAGCTTCCTGGAGTTGATCTTGTAGGGACCTGCATCCAGGAATATCATACTCAAAGTGCACTTGAAGCAGCCCACACAGGGTAGAGATTTACCGCCACCCTCCTTGTTCTAGTTACTCTACTTTTCTAATGCAGCTAAAAACCACATTAACCTTTCCGGCGTTAACACCACAAATATAGTGTATGGTAAGAGCATGATTGTGGGGCTGGACTCACACTCTGGTTCTACTACTTACTAGCCACATAAGTGTGAGTAAGGCCTTGAAATGCTCTGCAATCCAGTTTCCTCACTAGTGAAATGGTGATAACAAGAGAGCTTACCTCAAGGGATTGTGGTTGAAGATTAAATAAGTCAATACATACAAAGCTCTCAAAGTAGAGTCTGGCATATAAAACCATCCTATAGGTACTGGTATTATTTTTGTGCTTTCTGTCAACAGAAACACTTAAGCCTGTGGACCAGTCAGGGAAAAGCACCATTTTTTAAAGTCTAGTCTGGGTTCAGAGGTCAGCTCTACCCTGTGCTAATATGGAATCTTGAGTGATTCACTCAATCTCTCAGAATCTCAGATGCCTCATCTATAAGCTGGATACAATGGTGATTACCTTGCAGAATTGTCAAAAGGACGAAGTAACAGTGTGTGTGTGCACAATATCTCATATGCAAATATATCAAGCAATTGTCATTATTGTCATCTTCCTCATCATAATCATTGTGCATGGGCATCAAGGAAAACATAAATCTAAGAAAGATAAGAGTATAGCATGTAGATGAAAGTGAATATAGATAAACGGAGGGGTACCCTCACAGATATGTGACCTGTCCCATCCTTAAAGAAAGAACAAATCTAAAATAATGACTAATAAGTGAGGCAAAAGCCTAAGAGATTAATAGGATTATGGCTCAAATTATAAAAATGAGGTGGTTCTTAAGGGACAACATGTAGTAAAGGGTTTTGGCAGACTTCCAAGTAGATTCAGAACAGATCACCTCTCTAGATATCTTCATAGACACTCCCCTCTGTGTACATACACCAACCTACTATCACCTCAATTTCTTCTGTACTAAACAAAGACTTCAGTTTAACTCAAAAGAATAGTTGAAGTATGGCACAAAATATTTCAATTTTAAGGGTAGAAACAGAAACTTTAAAAACTACTACAAATTATCATTAAGTTTCTAAACAAAATGGGGCAGAAGTAGGGGGATTACCTGCTTTCTGACACTGCACAATCTTTTCCTGGACTGTATCTGCCATTTCTATGAGAAACCGGCTCTCTTGAATCATCTGTCACAAAATAAACATAGAAAAGTGGTAGTTAGAAGTCCTTAAAACAGCCCATTGGAAGGACAACATACAGAGGGATACTGGCAATAGTGGGGAACCATGGCCTTGGCCATAAGAGACAGAATATGGAAGGATAATGTCTGCTACAACCCCCATCCACTCTAGCTAGACTACTGCTAGAGTCACCTACTTCATAATTATTTCAGTCATATAACATGCTTGGCACCCCATGGGTGACAAATAAACAATTGTTAAATAAATGTATACACAGTCTTTAAGTCCCAGATCACATTCATGAACACCTCTTTCCCACCAAGTAACTGCAGCTTCAAGGCAAGTGGTACCAGAACAGCAGCAAGGAGAATCAGAATGAAGAATCACCTAGTAGTGAGCTAAAGGACAACTGAACACATGGATGAAGTTAGCAGCTTGGATTTGGGCGGCCTAAAGAGAGTAGAGGTCTGGTCCGCCTTCTAAAGGGTTCCAGCACCACTGGCAAGAATGAGAAATGGGTCATGTTTCAGAGTCACCAATTCAACAGAGGTTGTAGGCAATAACCCTGAAATGGTTGTTCCTGCCCTTTATCTTTGGGTAGGAAACAAAAATGTCCAAGAAATACTTAACATACTCAATGAAGTAGGGGAAACAAAAAACTGTTGGAGAGATGGAGAAAAGAAAAACCTGTACCTGAAGAAGAGGGAAGAAAATTGGTAAAGAAGTTGTGATCAGGATAACAGGGGATTGGGGCCCTTCTGAAGAAGTGACTGAAGAAAGGCATCCATTAGACAAATCAACACTTCTTGATATCCAGCAGCTCTTCTCCCCTCGGTAAGCGTTGTCCCATTTCACCTGGCTATTCTATGTTTTGTCTGTCAGAATATTCTGAAGGGAATTCAAGGCAGAAGCCAAAGTGGACATAAAAATATTGGGTAAGACACTTTTCATAGTTAAATGCTGTTGAACAGATTGTAGTCTTCTACAATCACTGACAATATAAAGTGGTTTATGATTACATATTTTCCAATAGAAAAGAATATTGAATCACATATTTTTAATGCCTAACAACTCAATAGGAGTAAAATCATACATTCATTTAATAATTATCTACTGAGCAGACACTATGTGTAAGCACTGTGGCAAGTATAAAGAGTGTGAGGCATTAAGGAGCAAAAACAGACATATTTCTATCTCCATGGAACTCAGAGTCTAGCAGGGAACTCTGCCCAAATGGATGAATGAAATATGATAATTAATTCAACCAAACAAAATTGAGTTACTCATATTTTCTGCCTAAAGTGGCAGTTTAAAGTAAGTTATTTGGAGGGTTAAATTGACCATCAAAACCATAAAAGTAGATATCCATGAAGGTCTAGACTGAGTCACACATTTTAACTGCATTAATGCTTTCAACTCCCAAGAGGAAGTGGAAGGTTAGTGAGTAACAATTTACTAAACCCCAACAGTAGCCTGACTTACTGCAGCTTCCAAGTGAATAAAATTTACAAGCAGAGAAAGATTTAATATGAGGGCCATCTGATTTAGTCTTTACTAAGCTTAGAATCCATGCATGTAACATCAACTGTGTTTTATTATACTTTGAAAAGTTATCATATGTTGCAATAGCTAAGTAGTAGACAAAATGTTTTTATGAAACTCAAGCAAGGGAGACATTCATAAATAATGGACACATTTTGTGACTTTACCATAAGCAAAATAGGTAATATAATATACATTTTTATAATCATTTAATTTTAAGACCAAAAGAATCTTAGGTATCATGACCACCCCCTTAATTTTGGAAGGAAGGAGGGAAGGAAGAAAGGGAGGGAGACGTGAAGTGAAGTGAAGTGAAATCTTACAGGAATTAAGATTCTTGTCTAAAAAATAGAACTAATTAATGATGGTGCTGGAATTAAACCCCCAGTTACCTGGTATCCACTTACTTTCATGAAAAAATAGCACCCTTCTGATTTTGTCTGGCCTGGCCATATTCCTTGAGAGAATGCATGCCTTCACATACATGCTATCTTTTGAGCCTGAAATATGGCATTTTCAAAGTCACCTGGCCCAGCCTGTCAGGAAAAACATGAGGGCATGCCCATAATCAATCCATTTCAACAAGATTCAAATTTATCCTTTTTAAGAAAAACTCAAAAAAGTAATAGGATTGATAATTTCCTTTGATGATATCATGACTGACATCTTAACTCTCATTTCTCTTGGTTTTGCTTTCAGTAGAGAACATATTCTTTGATTTAAAGAAAAAAAAACCTCTTTATTGATTTGTGGCCAGTTTTCTTTGCAGTAGATTACTAAATATCTCCTCAGTGTTGATCATAAAAGGAATATACTTCCTTCATCCAAAAACACCATACCCTTTTCTAATAACCTTGAAAGGAAGTGTCATCTTTGCTATGGCTACCTCTTCTACCTAGAAGTTCAATCCCACCTCCACTAATTCCCTCAGGAATCCATTCCTAATGACCCCTTCTTTTTTAATCCAAAATCTCTACCTCTCTCCTGACTTTTTCCCTTCTCCCTACACTTCTTATTTTAAAGTAAGCAAACAGAAACAATAACAAAATATTCTACTGGCCACTAATCCTCCATTAAAAAATTAGCCCACACTCATTGCTTTGACTCAAGCAAGACTCAATCAAGAACTTCAAGTTTAACCTTGGCCTCATCAACTACACCCTGGTCCATCTTCTGTCCTCATTCACTCCCAACTCAGCAGCTGACACCTCTGATCATTCCTCCTTCTTGATTTCTTGGGCACATTTCTTTTTCGGCTTCACTCTTTCTCTGACTCCTGTACTACCTCTTTCTCCTTTTTTATATCTATACATGTAGGAATCTTTTGAGCTGCCTGGCCTCAGCTCTCCATTCTTTCCTTTCACTATTCTCTCCTCATAGTAATTTCATCCATTCCTAGAACTATGAAATATTATTCTCACGCAGATAATTTCAAAGCTGGTGTTCCCAACACTGCCCCCTCTTCTAAATTCCAGATTCATACTTTCAATGGACTGCCACAGCAGTTTCTGAAGTAGGGAGGTACGTGCACTCTGGGGCAGGGAGCACAATATAATACTTCGAGGTGTGAGAAGAAACAATAAGGACTTTTATTCATGTTTATTTTATCTGTAAAACTAGAACAGAAATTAAGCTTTACAGATTGACCCTGCCCCCCTTGCCAAGTCAAGATCAGATGTCTCTACTGTGGTAAGTGAAAAAAGACAAGGAAGAAGGGAATTCCACATGGAAGAAGGGCTAACTGCAGTATCATTTATTGGTTTCTTCCAGAATATTACAACTTACATATGCGTGTAAAGTAGTAGAGCAATACTATTTACAGTGTCTTGTCCTAAATAAACTAAACCTTCCCAGTATGGATTCCTGAGAAGATGAAGATCATCCAAGCACAAGCAAAAATGTGAAGATGGCAGGGCCTCTCCTCATTCCACTCACAGCATGATTTCTTCCTCAGCAACACACACACGTGAAAACGGTGACAGTGGGATCAGATCAACGTATCCAATTACATTAGAAAAGAAAAAGATTTATTTCTATTATTCGTAAGTAAAACTTTTAAAATCCAATGCTAATTTCTATTCCTGATCTGGTTTTTACTGTATACGTTGTTATGTTATTAAGTTTATGTCATTTACGAATGAACACATTCTCAAATTTTTACTGAGGAGTTGCCTATGCTGGGTCCTCTCTATTCACCCCTCCAGATCCACTCTCTGTCATGCTCCATGCTGGGGAGGTTGGTCTCTGCAGGTAGCATCAAGCAGGCTCCCTTGCCTGTGACTTCTGTTGGGATGGCCAAAGGGGCCCATCAGCAAGGGATCATGGCAGGAGGCAGGAAGAGAGAAGGCTTAGGATAGTTACTCCCTTGACCATTCCCTTCCTGTTGGACTGTGGCTCCATAGCTTCCTCTCTACGAGACCACAGCTCCTGTGGAGTGGCCCCTCTCTGCCCGGTGCAGATACGACTGTGTGCCCGAATGGCTCCCTCCCCTTCTCCTTTAGGCCTGAGAGTAATGACAGCTTTGCGCTGTTGTTATTGTTGGGGTGCTCACCATCCACTGTTGCTTCTCTACTGCTTACCCTTACTTTTAGAACCAAACCCCTCATTTACTCCTTTAATCACCCCTTTGCTATCTGCAGAGAACAAATGAGGTAGAGATGCTTAGACTACCAGATACCTGTGCCTGTAATTTCCAGCATTCTCTGTCTCATCCAGACATCCAGGTTCAGATCTCCAACATTCTCTTTGCCTCACTGCATCCAGAAGATAAGCTCCGACATTTTGTCAGTCACCAAGATTTGCCTAACCTGCCACTTTTATCCCTTTGTTTCCTTCTTTAATCACAACACTCCTGGTTTAAGTCCACTCTCTGGACCATCTTTCAAATTCTAGTTGCATCTCAAATGTCATCATTAAAAATATGCTCTTCTCCATCTCATTCACCGATTCCCACCCCAACTCTAGCCAAAAAAAAAGAAAAGAAAAGAAAAGAAATATCTCCTATTTTCTTCAAATGCTCACAAAGCTCTCTTGAAGGCACTCAGAGGTGGCTTTGAATCCCTGCTCAGCTACTGGCAGGTTCTGGTTCTTCCCACCTTACTCCTTCTCAATACCACTTTCAGAATCATCTTCCAAAAACATAGCACTAGTTACTTCCTGGCTTTATCATTTTCTCCTTTGCCTACTGAACAAAGTAAAAAAAATTTTAAACCAGAATTCAAGTCTTCCCATTTGCCTCAGAAGCCGTTCCCCCCATGGCTTCCTGATCCTCCTAGATCCCTGTATGAATCATGCTTCTCCAAATACAGACCCTACTTGTCCCTCCTTCTACACATTTCTTACTATTAGATAAGTCTTCTTAAGTCATCTCTCCTGGTCAAAATCTTACTAGCTTCCAAGCTCATTTCATTGTCCCCCTTCCACTGCTGCCCTGATTTCCCTCTCCCTCTCACCTCCATATTCCA